ACGCGACAGAAGCTTAAAAAATGGAGTAACTTCTCCCGTTTTCCCAACATTTCCCTTCACTACTCTGCTGCTATTGATTGTAGCGTGATGAAAGGTATACTATAACCTGCCCAGGAGTATGAAAAATAATTGTACCAAGTTTAGTTAAAATCCGTCAAGTAGTTTTTGTTTCTATAAGGAACATACACACAGACAGACAGACAGACAGACAGACAAAAAATTTACTGATTGCATTTTTGGCATCAGTATCGATCACTAATCACCCCCTGATAGTTATTTTGAAAATATATTTCATGTACAGAATTGACCTCTCTACAGATTTGTTATAAGTATAGATAAGCATCTACTATCTATACCTTATTATTACATTATACGAGTATTGACAAACGGCAAACGAACGATAAACAATTCCAATAATTGCATTAGTTGGTCAATATCATTTATCGATACCGTACGAAGAGTCAATATTATGTTCTGGAAGATATATAGGGGGTCAATTTCAGACGATATAGTAATAACGATTACGTGTTGCATCATCTAAAAATAGTTGCGATGCTTTATCGCAGTTGTGACAATTTTTTTCTACAAATAGATGTTACGGTTTCAATTTGATGTACATGGTAAGGGGGCGTCCATAAATTACGTGAGGTGTTTTTTTTTGAATTTTCTGTCCCTCCCTCCCCCCCTGGTGAGATGTCGTGAGATTTTATTCAACCCCCTCCCCCATCCCCCAATCTCACGTGAAATTTTTCAAAATGTGGGTTTCTTACGTAAACGCATTGGATTGTTATTGTAAGAAGAAAAAAAATGCTTCGTGCTTTTATTTACGACTAGTTTAGACTAGTAATCAATATTGCTGAGAGTTATAAGTGTAATAATTTTTTTACAATAGAATATATGAATGAAATTATTTTCTTTCGAACGAATTAGTGAATGATCGTAATCTTACGATTACGCTTAAGATTAAATCTTAAGCATGTACAATCTGGATCAATGGACCAAAATAGTGTTTGTTTTTTTTGTTTCAATCAGAAAAAAAAATGCGTGATATTTGCCTAGACCCCCCCTCTCTTCAACGTAAGATTAGATGAGATTTGACTCGACTCGATCCCCCCCATAAACATCTCACGTAAATTATGGACGCCCCCTAATGATCTCTAAAGTAGGTCACGTGCACGGAACAAACGGGCTGGCGTGTTTAGTTAATTTTTGACGGAGAAACTTCTTTTCGGACGGAGTGTAAATGGAAAAATCTTATAGAGAAGATGAAACGGAAATGCGTCACGAGCGTCACACGACTATATCTTATTAAATAAAACTAGTTTTTATTGGTTAGTGCACGAAACTTTATTTATTTATTGACGTTTCGTAGCCTTTACAGGCTTCGTCGTCAGAATAAAACTTTTATTTAATTTGTCGAGCTACCTTCGAAAGACTTTTAATGAGCGTTTGGTTATTTCATTGTTCGATTTTTAAGTTTTATTGTCTATGTATGAATTTATTATTTAATTTACTTAAAAAAGTACTTAAATTCGAGACCTCGAATGATACGAACCGCCGCTCAGCTGGTTCGTTCCTCGAATGATGCGCGAGGCTATTGAGATTAAAAAATATCCAAATTTCAATAGGGAAGATGGTTGGTATATACCACCAGCTTGAGAACCTATTATACAGGAGATAAAATCCCAACCCCGAGCACACACTGCAAGACCATCAGATACTATTAGTTCTTTTTGTTTGCATAATTTAACATAAGAAGGAGATAGAAAGCCTCTCTTGAGTTTGTTTCGCCGGTTCTTCTCAGGAAGGTCTCCCAATTTTGGAACCGGTGGTAGTTTACGGTAGTTAGGGTCAAATAAATAAATAAACTCAAAATTACAAACAAGAATTTTAAATTTTAAATAAAAAATACTTTATTCAGTAAATTAAATAATAAATTCATACATAGACAATAAAACTTAAAAATCGAACAATGAAATAACCAAACGCTCAATAAAAGTCTTTCGAAGGTAGCTCGACAAATTAAATAAAAGTTTTATTCTGACGACGAAGCCTGTAAAGGTTACGAAACGTCAATAAATAAATAAAGTTTCGTGCATTAACCCGTAAAAACTAGTTTTATTTAATGAGTGATGTGCATGAAAACCTAAGAAACAAATATATCTTATATATAAAATTCTCGTGTCACAATATTAGTTACCATACTCCTCCAAAACGGTCTGACCGATTTTTATGAAATTTTATATGCATATTCCGTGGGTCTGAGAATCGGCTACTATCTATTTTTCATATCCTTAAGTGTTAATGGTTGTCCATCTGTAACGTAGTGTTCTGAAACCTGCATGCGCGCCAAAATTCAAACTATTGGGTATTGTAACGTAGTGTTCTCATACAGGTTAGGAGAAATTTTATTCCAGGAAATTGATAGAACACTACGTTACACACCCCTAAAATTTTTTTTGGACAATATTTTTTTTATTATTATGTGGTATTAAAAAATACATACAACAATAAATTTTCTCTTCTACCACCTGCCTCTATTTTTATGGCGGTACGAAGTTCGATGGGTCAGCTAGTATACATATATGTATAAACGAGATAGGTAGGATACGAGATGAGGAGCTCGATGGCGCCAGTGGTTAGCGCGTTCGGCTGCGGTCGTTGAAGTTGAGCAACTTTCGCATTGGTCGGTCATTGGATGGGTGACCAAAAATTTACTATCTCGAGCTCCTCCGTGCTTCGGAAGGCACGTTAAGCCGTTGGTCCCGGCTGCATCTGCAGTCGTTAGTACCCACCAATCCGCACTGGGCCCGCGTGGTGGGTCATGGCCCAATCTCCCTAATCCATCCATAGGGAAGGCCTGTGCCCCAGCAGTGGGGACATTAATAGGCTGATGATGATGATGATGTATATACGCATGTTGGTCCTCAAATTAACGCGGACGCAGGGGACCTCTAGTCTATAACAAAAAAAAAATGCTAATGCTTAAAAATAAATAAAAACAATTTAAGTTAATTACTTAAATTGTTTTTATTTATTTTTAAGCATTTTACTGCTTTTTCTTTCTGAAGTAACTGCGGGTAGGCTGTTATTGGCAGACATATCGGTCTACCCTCCGATGAAGTCTTCTCTTGCGTTCGATAACCGTACCACTGTTCACATTCCCACTATTCACTCGAAACTGTTCTCGACACACAGTACTCACAGTATCGGATCGCGACACGACACTTGACTTTTTTGTTTATGCCAGGTTTTAGGATTAAAGACACTCGACAATTTAATTTCTATGTGTCCAAATATTGGCACTGTTGCAAGCGCAATGATGAACATAACAATAATTTATATGTAAAAACAAGGTACATGGTAATCATCCCGTAAATAACATAATTACTATAAAGCTATTAATATAATTAGCAAAACAGGTGTAACAATCATCATCATCATCATCAGCCTATTAATGTCCCCACTGCTGGGGCATAGAGCTTCCCCATGGATGGAATAGGGAGATTGGGCCATAACCTACCGAGCGGGTAAGTTAATTACTTAAATTGTTTTTATTTATTTTTAAGCATTTTACTGCTTTTTCTTTAGATTTAAAATTTACTTCTTTTCCTTTGATTGGAGTGCGATTCATAGTATTAAAGTATTTTTTCGTTTACTACAATTATTTCCTAGCGAGTAAGGTCGTTTAACGCTCACTTTATTAAGCAACCTCTCTTTTTCTGCAAGTTCTAAAGTACTTTGCTGAGTTTATCTAAAGTCAATATACCCTGTTTTCTATATCATACTTTAGTATATCTTCCACAGATTTATAATCTCTTCTTCGCCTAAAATTTGCAAAGAAAGTCATGGCTTATCGATCGTCAATGTACCCTATATCCTAGCACGTAAGGTCGTTTATCGTTAATGATTTTATTCTTTGGTTCCTCCGTGTAAAGGTTATAGAGAGTGCCTCGTTTGTACTCGTCTCCACGGACTAGCAGACTCCGGAAGAAATGTATGTTCTTGTCGGCATTAAGAGGTATGCACCCTATGTCCTAGCACATAACGTCGTGTATCGCTCGCCGTTTTATTTCTAGGTTTCAGCGTGTTCAAATTATAAACAAAGCTGAGGTTATAAACCGCTAATATACTCCATATTGTAGCACGTAAGATCCCAAATCGCTCATCGTATTATCGAAGCTCTCATTGCCGTGCAAATTGGGAAGGAAGCCACGTTTATTAATCGCTAATATACCCTATGTTATAGCAAGTAAGGAAGCATATACTTCATCGAGATATCCAACTTGTCATTCACTTAAAAATTGTAAGGAAAGCCGTATAATAAATAGATCTTGAGTATGCCCTATAACCTTGCACGTAATTACCCATTATTTTTGACAGTTTTAACGAACTTCTCCGTCTGGTTAAATTATAAAGAAAGCCCTGTACCCTATACACTTACACGTAAGGTCTCATATTGCGTAACTTTTTATCAACCTTTCCTTCCTATGCAAATCGTTTTATTCTTAGGTTTCGTCGTGTGCAAATTGCATAGAAAGATGCATTTATCGACGGGCAATTGAACCTATATTTTAGGACCTACAGTCGTATATCGCTGACCGCTTTATTCAAAGGTTCTTCCGTGCCCAAATTAAGAGTGAAGCTACGTTTCTAGGCGTCTAATATAACCCGTATATTCTAGCACGTAAGGTCGCAAATCTTTCGCTGCTTTATACAACCTCTCTCTCGCGTGAAAATTAGGAAGTAACTCCCGACTTACCAATCGCTTAAGTACCCTATCACATAAGGTCCCATATCGCTTACCGTTCGCAAATTGTGAGTGAAGCCACGTTTCTAGGCCTCTAATATAACCCCTATATTCTACAACGTAAGGACGCAAATCTCTCACCGCTGTATACAACCTCTCCCTCACGTGAATATTAAGAAGAAACCCCTGACTTATCAATCACCTATGAACCCTATACTCTAACACATAAGGTCTAACGCATATCGCTCACCGTTTTATCCTTCGGTTCCTTCGTGTGCAGGTTGTAGAGAGTGCCTCGTTTGTACTCGTCTCCGCAGACGTAGCAGACTTCGGTCATCGAGTTCTTGTCGGGCATCGACAGGTCCAAGATATCCCGGTCAGAGCTGGAGTTAGAGTTGCCAGAGTACACGGAAACCGTCGACCTGGAAAACAAAAGCATATTTGAAATAAACTATTGGGTACACGTGAGTTCATTAGAGAGCGTCGAAAAAAACAATTTCCTATAGAAACTTCCAACTCCTACAAGGATGATTTTGGAATAAAAACTTATGTCATTTTCCAACAATCAACCTATCTCTAAATAAAATTTTATCTAAATCGGTTCAGCGGTTTAAGCATGAAGAGATAACGGACAGTCAGACATATTTTTGCATATATAATATTAATATGGATAGCCGAGTGATCCTATTGAGTTAGTACGTGATCATGGCACTAGCAACAGTGCTGAAATATAGGTCAGGGCTTGTTTACCGGTTAATTTTCAAACCTAAATCAGTGTCAAGTACATTAGGAGCGTTTTATTTAGGTTTTTAAAGGGTTTCATTTCGCTCTTACTGACGGCTGAAATAAATACACAACTACAAAATGAATAACTTGACTTACTAGACGATAGCAAACGTGTCAATAAATGAATCGATCTTTGAGCATTAACAAGTTGTGATTTGATTAGTTCAAACAAAACAAACTTCAAGCGATGGCGACGCGTGCACGTGTCGCTCTGGATTAAACCGGTTTATTAAGGTTTTAGGTACCGCTTTCATTTTCGACGAGTTACGAACGAAACCTTTACTAAAAACCGGTATTAACCTTTATTTACCGGTATTTTTGAAACCAGTTTGCAAGCCCTGATATAGGCGACTTTAAAAAACGAGGTACATATTAGCAACCCTGCTATTTACTATATTGTTAGTAACCAAAGCAAACGTAAATGACAGACCGACAGCGACACAAGTTACGCCTGTATATTAATCACGCCGACAATGAGGTAGAATAAAAAGCAAACATTATGTTGGAACAAAGTTAATAATAACATAAGTACACAACTATAGACAATACGCAACGAAACAGTTGACGGTCATGATGGAAAATTCTTACACTTCTTCCGACCTACAGCCAAAATCTGTGTTAAAAAAACCCTTAAAAAATCTTACCCCTTTGTCAATACTATAAACACATAGGATATAGCGTTATTAAAATATAATAAATAAATAAATATTTCCAACACTCACACCAATTAGCCTAGAGCCAAAGTAAGCACTGTAAGGCTTGTGTTATGGGATACTAGGGTAACGGATACAATACATATACTGTACATACATAAGTATATTTTTATTTAGAAATACATATGAAACATCCATGACTGGAGTACAAATGCTCGAATTCATCACACAAACATCTGCCCCCACCGGGATTCGAACCCGGGGACCTCTCGAGTCGGCGACACCATGAAACCCGGCGTACAAACCGCTCGACCACGGGGGTCGTCAATATCGTTTTAAACTTTTATGGTCACTGACATAATAGTAATTAAAGTTATTTACGGGATTGTTACCATGTACTGTGTTTTATAGCGAGTTTCCGATATTTCGGAACTGTTTACATGGCGCTTGGCCATGATCACGGAGTAACTGAAGTAACTGCGGGTAGATGTTATTGGCAGACATATCGGTCTACCCTCCGATGAAGTCTTCTCTTGCGTTCGATAACCGTACCAATGTTCACATTCCCACTATTCACTCGAAACTGTTCTCGACACACAGCACTCACAGTATCTGATCGCGACACGACACGACTTTTTTGTTTATTCCAGGTTTTAGGATTAAAGACACTCGACAATTTAATTTCTATGTGTCCAAATATTGGCACTGTTGCAAGCGCAATGATGAACATAACAATAATTTATATGTAAAAACAAGGTACATGGTAATCATCCCGTAAATAACATAATTACTATAAAGCTATTAATATAATTAGCAAAACAGGTGTAACAATCATCATCATCATCATCAGCCTATTAATGTCCCCACTGCTGGGTCATAGGCCTTCCCCATGGATGGAATAGGGAGATTGGGCCATAACCCACCGAGCGGACCCAGTGCGGATTGGCGGATGCTAACGACTGCAGATGCAGTCGGGACCAACGGCTTAACGTGCCTTCCGAAGCACGGAGGAACTCGAGATAGTAAATTTTTGGTCACCCAATGACCGACCACTGCGAAAGTTGCTTAGCTTCAACGATCGCAGCCGAACGCGCTAACCACTTTCGCCATCGAGCTCCTCACAGCTCCTCAGGTGTAACAATATAAATAAAAAAAAAATGATTTGGATGAAAGTCGGTATAATAATATAAGTTTATTGCGCGGATTGAAAGAGGCCGCGGACGAAGTCGTGGGCGGAAGCTTGTCGTATATTATTTTAGCTCATTGATGCAACATAGCAGTCTAGACAGTACATAGTGATTCAATGGCATTGATTGATTCAATATTGAGCTTAGGCCATTAATCTTAGTCGCTTCGGATCTTGCAGTAATCCTAGAGTTAGTAATGCCTCTCCCTGCTGCCTATTAGAGATAATAAAGTTAAATCTATAAACAGATATATATAGGCCACCCTGAACGATATACATAAATTAAAAAATTCTTTAAATTTCAAATTTCAATAGGGAAGACGTTGTAACAACATAATGATTTGTAAATGTTGTTACATTATGCTTTTAATGTTGTGGAGTTTTTTTCGCTCGTTTTAGAAATAACGAGTGGTAGGGAAAAAAATATGTTTGGACGATTCAAAAGTGTTGTACTATACATCCAATTTGAATAAAGATATATTGATTATTGAGGAGCTCGATGGTGCAAGTGGTAATCGCGTTTGGCTGCGATCGATGAACTTAAGCAACTTTCGCAGTGGTCGGTCATTGGATGGGTGACCAAAAATTACTATCTCGAGCTCCTCCGTGCTTCGGAAGGCACGTTAAGCCGTTGGTCCCGGCTGCATCTGCAGTCGTTAGCACCCACCAATCCGCACTGGGCCCGCGTGGTGGGTCATGGCCCAACCTCCCTATTCCATGCATAGGGAAGGCCTGTGCCCCAGCAGTGGGGACATTAATAGGCTGATGATGATGATGATGATATTGATTTCTGATTTCTAAGTTTTTGGCGTAAATTAATTGAACGAGTATTTATATTGATCCAAAGACTATGACGACTTACCTGATTTAAAGAGTAGACCTTTCGTTTTAGTTCTGCCATCTAGCGTCATTTCATAAAACCCCTCATTGTCACGGGTTGGAGTTTTCACAGCGACAGCGGATCAGTTGTTAGTCATAAGAGAGGCCCTCTCAGTTGACGATGATTGCTCAGTATTGTAGCCCCTCACCTGACAGCGTCTAGGGGGCCTAACGCCTATCGGGATTGCTATGGCTATAGCTATGTTCCGGTATGGAGCCTCATCCGACGTGTCTGAGGCTATGACGATCTTGGTGACTTGAAGGATGAGTAGCTTACCATACCTTTCGTCTCTGTGCTGCCACCTGGCGCCCGTCATTTCAGAAAACCCTCATTGCCACAGCTGATCGGTCGGTTGGCATAAGAGAGGCAGCTGATGATAATTAATGCTAGGTATGGTAGCTCCTCACCTGACGGCGTCCAGATAGCCCGCCGGCTCGGAGGCGCCGGAGTGCTGCGAGCCTACGGAGATGACAGAAGGGTCGCGCGCGCGTAAGTCCAGCACGCCTTCTTCCTCCCCCGCCCCCGCGCCCGCACCGGTCCCAGCATTCGTCGCCACCCCCTGGCCAACCCCCGCGCCGCTAGGATACCGCTGCTGCAAAAAACCAGCGGGTATCTTAGACGAAGACCACCACGTTATAACACTCCACCACATCTTCTTTGTCCTATAAAAGTATATTTCTCAAAGGTATACTGTGATGGTATTTTTAGGAAAATGGTAGCCAAATATTACTGCTGATGTTAAATACATAACTATGTAATACCTCAAAGCTAGGTATATTGTATATTGTATATTGTTTGTGCGTCAGAACATAAATTTATATACGAGGCGCGATGATGTACATAATTTCAATACCAGAAATAAAGATAAACTCAAATTGCCACCATTGAGACTCCAAAAGGTTCTTGGTTCATTTGTGGGTCAAGGTATATGTTACTATAATAAAATACCAAAAGAAATAATTAATTTACCTTTTAATAAGTTTAAAGTGTGTATAAAAACATGTCTCCTTAAGAAAGGTTACTATACTGTAAAAGATTTCATAAATGATAAGTCACCTTGGGCTTAACATAATAGACTGTCTTTTTACTTTGCTAATTTGGTTGAAAATTGTTTAATCGCCACTTCTAAATTTAAAAATAGTACCTAGTTATACTTAACTTTTGTTAATTAATAATATTAATGTGATGGAAGTTGACATCAACACATGTATTCAATTTTTGATGTCATCTTTCAATTGACGACACTGTGTGAAACAAAACAGGGAGAAAAAAATAGCCCTTGCTGAGTTTCTTGCCGGTTCTTCTCAGTACAAGGTCTCCCGCCGTAGATTTACGAACCGATGGCGTAGCGTTTGACTTTCACAAGAGCTTGTAACAGCCTAGACTGAATAAATGAGTTTGAATTTGAATTTGAATAGGGATGAACGATAAAAGTTTTTGAAAGACACCAACCTTAAGGACTTAATTGGGAATTCATGAAGATATCCATTTACCTACCTTCTAAACTTTGCCAGTAATCTATATGTATAAAACAGAATTAATATCAGCAAAATGAAAGTGGCAATAAAAGGCATGGACTACTGTCGCTTCAGCCATCTTTGCAACCGTACTCCACTGACACTTAACATCAGGTAGCCACACCACTTCTATCTTTCCAAAACCTGTATAAAGAGAAGATCAAGATTTAACTCACATTGTTGAACTTATTGTTGGCTACATGGTTGGTTTCCTTCTCCTCTTTTCTGTAGGGCGAGGGAGGGGCAGGCGCGGCGGGCGAGGGGACGGCGGGCCGCGAGGGAGGGCGGGGCGTCTCCTCCCCCCGCGCGCCGGTACTCTCCGCTCCCCCGGACAGGCCCAGCATCTGCGCCGCGTATTCGCCTTGGAACGACATATCAGCACCTGCGAATCGATCGGAGACTTGATAAGACAGGCAGCTCAAAGATCAGTTAGATGTGCTGACGTTTCGTAAAAATTAAATGCAGATCTAAAAATCCCAACAATAGGGAAAAACATTGAACTAAATATAGAAGACCTAGAAATCCATACAGACATTTGGTGGTAATCTGATGGAAGTGGTTACAGCGTCTAAACCATGATCTAAGCTAGAACAAACTCAAGCCTAAAGGGAAAGGAATGAACTCCTTTCACACCGACGCAAGATATGGCGACTACTCCATTTAAAGGCATTCCGACAAAAAAGAAAGCAACTCCGTGATTCAAAAGGTTACGATAAGCAGTTGGTCTCGGTTGCCTCCGCACTGAGCGGATGTGGTAGGTCATGGTCCGTTATCTCTATTTCATTCATAGAGAAGTCCAATGCACCAGCAATGGGTACATTACATTAATTGGCTGAAGGTGATGTTGTTTGAAGACGGTCGTCGAATTTTGCCAAACGTAAAGATACAGCATGAGATTGAGTACTTGTTTTTTACAATGCATTATTTTGATTCTTCGGAATCAATTAGGACAAAAGAGTTTCTGCATCACACGAAAACGATAATCACCTAACATTTGTATATACACATTAAAAGTTAATAAAATTGCTTGGTATAAACAAACAACTTGCATCACCATAAATTTTGCTTGCTCCAATCATTAAGTAAATATCTGTATCAATTGACCCCGAACATCTTTAAAATAAATAAGGAAAACGTAACAGAGTGTGTTCGATTTAACGACGTCGATATGCTGGCCTACTTTAAAAATGTGCCGTAGCATCTGGACAAATTCGTTCAATAGACACGCTATGATATTATAAATGATGTAACTTAAGGGTAAGATTATGATACCAAGAAGTCCACGATAAGTATTTTAAGATTTCTTGTCTGACATAGCAAATACCTATAGCTGCGGTGGCTGCTTTCCACCAGGCAAACCCACCTTTTTCAAAAGGCAAAAAATCGTGGACGCTAATTCTCTGTATCATCCCCTTGTCAGGGATCATCCCCATGATCGCATCAGACGAAGCTTGTAAGGCCCTTATGGACATAGGCATCCCCTAAAGGTGTGGCGGTGTTTAGTCAGTAAGAGTCTGACATAACCCTGCAGCCGGCTGTAGGGTATCAATGAGGATTTCACACCGGCTTCCCCGCCTGGGAGGAAACAAAAAAAAAGCTAATTCAAAGTAGACATTCAAGTATCCAATAGACCAATTAGATCGTGCAATCGCGGCGTAAGAGCGAGACCCGTGAATGCAACGTAGACTGAGGTCACGGCGCAGCTGGCGAGGTCTGACGTGTGACGTAATAGGGGGCAACCCCAGCGAGGCAGCGACTCGGTCAGCGGAACGAGGCGGCGCGGCACTTTCACTCGCTTTTGCCATGCCGCCATGCCGCCGCCCGGTCGAGGTCGCGACCGCGTGATTCACCGAGTTGCGCTCGCGCTTACATAGTGTACGATTACCCGGCGTATTCTAAATTTAGAGTTTTATCTATGTGAATGAATAAGTACAATTTGAGGAGCTCGATGGTGCAAGTGGTTAGCGCGTTCCGCTGCGGTCGTTGAAGTTAAGCAAGTTTCGCATTGGATGGGTGACCAAAAATTTACTATCTCGAGCTCCTCTGTGCTTCGGAAGGCACGTTAAGCCGTTGGTCCCGGCTGCATGTGCAGTCGTTAGCACCCACCAATCCGCACTGGGCCCGCGTGGTGGGTCATGGCCCAATCTCCCTATTCCATCCATAGGGAAGGCCTGTGCCCCAGCCGTGGGGACATTAATAGGCTGATGATGAATAAGTACAAGTTGAGGAGCTCAATGACGCAAGTAGTTAGCGCTTTTGGCTGAGATCGTTGAAGTTAAGCTACTTTCGTATTGATCGGACATTGGATGGGTGACCAAAAACTTATTATCTCGAGCTCCTCCGTGCTGCGGAAGGCACGTTAAGCCGCACTGGGCCCGCGTGGTGAGTCATAGCCATTCTCCCTATTAGAAACATATTGAAGGTCTGTGCCAAAGCAGTGGGGACATTAACAGGCTGACGATGATGATAATCTATGTGAATAAGTACCACCATAAATGTGTTATTGTTTACCAAACTGTGTAATACCACTTTTGTCAAGACATCCATAGTGAGAGAGAACTTTTTGTTGTGTCATACATCACATGACTGGTAGTGGCTTGAACGTTTGCCGAGTCTAGAGTATAAACAAATGCGAATAAGTTAATAAAGATGTTATTAAATTATGGATAGATACCACTTTTTGAGTTTTGTGGCACTAAGATGATTTTAAAAATCAAAAAGCTTCTGCTAATATAGTTATTAAAAATGAAGCGAACAATTAATTTATAACTTTTTATATGTATGATTCAAATGAAAATTCTTGAATTTTTTTTTTATATTTTTTAAATTGAAATCGATATAAATCTTTTAAAACCTAGATCAGATAAAAACTATCTTTTCTATTCTTCCAAATACAATACTTTCAATCAGCTATCGATTTACAAAAGTGCTTGTAAACAACCTAAATTGAAAAAGTTAAATATTTAAATCTAAAGAAAATATAACTAGAAAAAATTCCACGCGGATCAGACAGCAGACGGGACTCGAACCCGCACCCTTCGCAATCCGGGCGAATGCACTGACCAATTATGCTACCGCGGCCCTCACGGACCGCGTCGAAATTCTTCTAGCCATTCTTAAGCTGCAAGGCAGCGCCATCTCTTCGCATTATAGGTAACCCACAAGTTAAATATTAAATGCAAGGTTTTGATACCGTTCATATTTCCACTGTGGACTACAATTAGTGAGGCTCCATTCATATGCAACTCGCTCCGAAGATTAGGTCGTGTTTGACTACTCGTTAGCGGTTCGTAAACAGATTAACGCAACAATTGTGCGATGCGAATTCATGGAATTTGACAATGCCTCAGTAATTAAAGCCAACTAAGATTGCGTAATTTTGCGTTCTATAATAATAATAATAATAAATATTTCCAACACTCACACCAATTAGCCTAGCCCCAAAGTAAGCACTGTAAGGCTTGTGTTATGGGATACTAGGGTAACGGATAGAATACATATACTGTACATATATAAGTATATTTTTATTTAGAAATACATATGAAACATCCATGACTGAAGTACAAATGCTCGTATTCATCACACAAACATCTGCCCCCACCGGGATTCGAACCCGGGACCTCTATAAATTAGTTCTTCACTACCGAAGAATGAGAGAGTCAAAATTAGGTGAACTACAATTTGCTAAATTTAATAATAACCAGGATAGGACAGCCTCCTAAAGTGGTTGTATGAATGAATTATTTGATATACTTACAATTAAATTGATTTACACTTATAATTTTTATGTTTTAAGCATGTAATGTGATTTATACTTACATAATGGACCAATAGACATAATGTTTATTTATTTTCATTTCTCATTCTCGGAAAGTGGTGTTGTTTTGATCTGTTTGTTGGGTGGAAAATGCTGCTTCCCTCTCTAGAGAGGGAAAAACTCATACAAATTACTTCCCGCCTAAGGGCCGGAATGAACTTTAAAAATAGAACTACTGTCAGGCGTGAAGTTTTTTGTAAAAAAAAAAATGGTTGCCTGTAAAGTCGGTTTTACGGGCGAAGATTTTACGTGACAACGTCTTTTTCTCGGTAGAATATTTATTGATATGAATATAATTAAATTGCACAATAGGAACAAGGAATTGAATGAAAATAAGAATTGCACAAATTTTAACTATAGAAATATATTTTGTTTACTAAAACATTGTACATGTAAACTTAAACTTAACACGAGAGACTCATCGTAACGTTACCGAGCGTTACACTTTTTCATAAGTGACTCCCAGCCGCAACCTAATTTAAGACGTTGTCACGTCAAAAAAATGCTGCCGCCATGTGAGTTTCTAAACAGCCAGTTTGAACTTAGCACAAACTTCTTTGAGCGGAATAAGCCGCAACAATTACGCTGTTCCATATTTAAATTTAAAAAGTCGACATAAATTGGCGGGATACTAAACTGTTATGCATCTGTTATGTGATGGAATAAAAAAATAGTAATAATAATCTTTTAAGTAAAACAGAGCAATCCAACTTTGAATATTAAAAATGAGTTCAAGCGATTCAGAAATGTTGACACCGGATTCAATTAAAGACGAGGCAAATTGTGTTATAGAGAATATTTTGCCAGAAATGTTAAAAAAGAGATATATAAATACATACAATGATTTTATAAAGTGGTGAGCAGAGAAGAATATAAAATCGTTTTCCGAAAGTGTATTTCTTACATATTTTAATGGACTGTCTAGCAAACTACAGGCTCCTACAATTCGCCTCAGCAGACAACTTCCAGGGAGTATCCGCCATGGAATCCATCGTTTGATGAAATAACAGAGTGTCCTACTTTTACAGATATCGAAAACAGCCAAATTTGTAATAGTATATCAAACAGCATAGTTTCAAACAAGAATGTTACTTTTAATTTCAGTAATTGTCCTAATATGATAATTAATTTTAAATAGCTACTTCTAATTTTATGGTATATATATAACTATTTATGAATAAATATTTTTGTTAAACAACTAGTTTTATTTTCCTCATATTCGAAATGAAAAGTACAGTGTTTAACTCGGGTAAAAGAATCAATTCCTACTCTGACTATAGCCGCCCTCGCTGCGCTCGGGCGTCTAAATACCTCGGGAATTGATTCTTTCCACCCTCGGTTAACAATCTACTATTTATTCTTCTTTACCAAAATACAGTAAATGGCGGACTTAATGCCATAGGTATTCTCTACCAGTCGACCAGTAAGGGTGTGGGAGACGAATGTTATGGCGATAGAGTGCGAGCTATTATATTTAGAAAAACATACATATTTTCCTACTTAACTTTACTATAATGTTGAATTGTTCTGCGCAAATTATATTTGTATGCCAAATGGGACTGACCACGGCTGCATAATTTAACACACATGTAACTTTTTTCAACCCGTGTATCACAAATAAAGTATTTGATTGATTGAAAGTTGATTGTAGTCGGAAAAGTACAAGAAAAAGTACAAATAGCAAGACGCTGGATTATCAGTACCAGTTGCCTCAGAATATGCTTAAGATCAAATTAATCAGCCAGTAAGTTAAACAACAATATTGTTGAATACAAACCTGGGGGCCAATCGCCTAACTGGATTGCTTTGGAAAACGCTATCGCTTACGATTTCATTTTGTTATTTCTAACCGCCGAAATACCTCACGCTCATTTTCTTTAACATTGTTATTACCAATGCAAAAGAAAAAAAAAGAGCGCGAGGCATTTGAAAACCTCAGGGGGCTAGAAATAACAAAATGAAATCGTAAGCGATAGCGTTTTCCAAAGCAATTCAGTTAGGCGATTGGCCCCCTGGTGTGAATGAAATTTAATAACTTAAATAAAACTTATAAGAGACAAAACCTTCAAATTGTGATGAAAACAGACCAAACCTAAATAAAAGCGTCTAATCAACGATATTAAATACCCTAGATACACCAACACGAACAAAATCATGCCCGAAACCTGTGCACAAGGTACATTGGACGATCCACGGAGCTCCGTAAGATGATCGCGAAGTCTAAACAAAATAAGGCATTATTTAAATATTGAAAATCACCTTTAAAGCATACAATGTAAGGTCTTAATTAAAACGCTTCCGACAAAGAGTTCTGACAGTCCGAAATGTAAGCTCGTAAAATTTTACGACTTATTGCTTTATGCGTAGGAATATAGACCTTATTTCTTTATAGCATAGCATGCTATATTTATAATATAGCAGGTACGGACCGCGAGGAAAAGAGACGGCTATATTACTGACCATGCATTTGAATATCACAAATATTTTCTATTAAATCCGTTTATAGTAAGTAGTATTATAACAAAAATTACTTCAAATGCGTTAAATTAACAAACATTGATTAGATACCTGTCGAAAAAACGTCATTTTACATACTATAAGCATTTTTTTCGCATTTTTTTTCAGAGCTCATCGGCATGTTGACTATTCAACGGTCCGCGCGTGAATGTGAACCAAGAAGTGCTTGAGTCTTGTTCAAGCACTTCTTGATTGGGACACATTTTGAGCGCACGTGGTGTATCTAGGGTATTTAATATCGTTGCGTCTAATATTCCAAAGATTCAGACAAAATTGAATTGTTCAATGAATGTATTTCGCTATACAGAAGGAACTTTAGGAACTGAAAAGAAAACCTGGGCTTTCTGAGAAGTGGAACTTTGTGATTCAGTGGTCCTTCTTCGAACATGTGATGGGTGCCATATTTACTTACGTACGTAACGTATCGGGTAAATTGTGCCTTCGTCTGCCGATGTGGGTCGGGTCAGGCACGACTGATATAGCGCTCCAAAAATGTCTTTTTTGATTAATCACCTCACAAAACCGGATTGCAGCCGAATCTAAAAGTGGCCTCACATTGTCGTCGTTCGATAAGACAGATGCGGGTCGTAATTTTTTTCAAATTTCATCATTGTGTGGAAAAATATTTTATCTGAATACGATATTGATAAAAGCAAAGATTCAGATAGACTTATAACAGGGTCGGATTTAAAGGTATGGAGTCCATTTTTTTTTATTACGCAGGCAAAACCTCTATTCTCTCTCCTCTACTTGCAGACGTTGGCGCCCTTAACCTTGAGCACACCAACGAACGGACCTCACACCTAGCCTCTCGCAAGTCTCACGGGCGCGAAACGGAGAAGCCGTTAAGCAGTCCGCGCGGCTTGCGAGCGCTTACGGCAATTACGGCTTTACTATACGCTAAAAAAACCCTGCGAATACCCTCTACGCTGTAAAGTGCCGAACCGCGAGATCCCCGTTGAGGGACTTCACCGAGTCATAGGTATGGAGGTCCTGGGGCAAAGAAGGCGTGAGGCCAGACGAC